ACGCATGCATCGAGAGAGACTGGAGCATGCACGAGCACGTACGAGACGCTAGCCATGAGCATGCCACGTGCCTATCACGACGACATCCTACCAGGCACTGCATGAAGTATAGAGAGCTAGATCAGACTCCTCTCACACTCTTGCTCCTCCTCTCCCCCTCCCCTTCACCCCCTCCCCCTTCTCCTCCCCCTCCCTTCTCCTCCTCCCTTCTCCTCCCCCTCCCCCCTTCTTCCTCCCCCTCCCCCTTCTCCCCTGCCCCTTCTCCCCCCTCCCCCTTCTCCTCCCCCTCCCCCTCCCCCTCTCCTCCCTCCCCTTCCCCCTCTCTCACTCCCCTCCTCCCCTCCCCTTCTCCTCCCCTCCCCCTCCCCTCCCCTCCCCCGCGTCCCATCCCGAGGACCAAGTCAAGTCTCTCGCGTTGAGCTTTTCCTCGAGTCGAATGGCGCCCAGTAGCGGAGTAATCCTGTTGCTGAAGAACGCGCACGTCCCTTCAGCAAGATGCCCTCCCCCCTGCCCCCCCCCCTATTCTTTTTTGCTTCTTTCCTTTCTTGTTTTTTTTGATATGTTTCAATACGTTTTTCTTTCTTTTTTTTTTGCTTTCGCTCCTTCTTTTTTCTTTTCTTTTTTTTTTCGTTTCAGTACGTTTCTCTCTCTCTCTCTCTCTCTCTCTCTCTCTCTCTCTCTCTGCTCTCTCTCTCTCTCTCTCTCTCTCTGTGCTCTCTCTCTCCTCTCTCTCCTCCCTTTCCTTTCGCTCCTTCTTTTTCCTTTCCTTTTTTTTCTTTCGTTTCAATCTGTTTTCTTTTTCTTTTTTCGTTTTTCCTTTCCTTTCGTTCCTTCGTCTTTCTTACTTTTCTCTATCTCATTTTCTTTCCATTTTCTTTTATTCTCTTCTCTCTTCGTTCCTTTGTATTTTCTTTTATTCTGTATCTCATTTTCTTTCTTTACCTTTCTTTCTTCTTGTCTTATTTCTTCCTTCTCTTTCTTTCTGTTTTTTACCTGCTTTTTTCTCTTCCGTTTAGCTTTTTCTAATCTGTCTTCTCGCATTTCAATGAATTCTCGTACTTTTGTCTTTCTATCCTTAATTTCCCTTCCCTCTCCTTTCTCTCCTTCCCCTTACTCCCTTTTTTTCCAAATCTTTCTATTCTCCACACATTCTCCCTTTCCCATTCTCTCTGTCTCTTCGTTCATCCATTTCTCGCCTTATCCCCTTTCACCTTTCTTCCTCTTCCCCATCCATCAACCCCTTATTTTCCGTTCCCCTTCTTCCTTCGCCTATTTCCTTCTTTCTCCCTCCTCTCTCTTTCACCCCTTTTTATTCCCTTTCAAAAAAGAAAAAAAAAGAAAATTAATATGATTTAATTTCCTGTTCGCCTTCTCAAAAAAAGAAAAAAAAAAAAAAAATTAAAAGAGCAGCTGCTAAGAAGTTCTCTCTTTCATTGAAATGCGATTCTTTGGAGAATTATTACTATTCTTCTTTTTCTTCTTCTTTCTTTCCGTTGGATACTTAAGAGAAAGATTAATTTCCTTCTCTTTCCTCCCTTCTTCCACCCACGTGAACCCCAACACCAAAAAGTCGGTGGGGAGGGGGTAGGATGGGGGGAGGCCGGGGCACTGGGAGGAGGGGGTGAAGGAGGAGGGAAGGGGGAAGGAGGGAGGAAGGCCGGGGGCTGGGAGGAGGGGGAGGAGGAAAAGGAAAGAAGGAAAGGGGGGGGGGCGGGGGGAGCTGGAGGAGGGGGAGGAGGAGGAGAAAGGAGGAGGAGGGTGGGGGGTGGGGGGTGGGGAGGGCGGGGAGCTGGGAGAGGGGGAGGAGGAAAAGGGGAAGGGGGAGAGAGGCCTGGGACCAGGGAGGAGGAGGGGTGAGGAGGGTGGGTGGGGGGAAGAAAGGCGTCTTAACTTTTCACTTTTGACAAATTTTCACATTCGAATGATGACATTTTATTCTTAAAGATACTATTCACATCTGTTTTTTTCGATTTTTTAAGGAGGTAACATTAAAAGACAAATGCACAGTGAACAAGCAAGCAAATGAACTAAACAGACGGTCAAAAGTTTAATTACAGACGATGTAATTAATGTTATTCTATCTTTCCAAAAAAAACAAAAAAGAAAATGAAAAGAAAAACATATCTCCTTGTTCTTCATAAACAAGTAATTACAAATGGAAACGAAAACAGCCACAAGAAATGAAATGAAATCGAATAAAGTTCTCATTGTGACTGCTTTAATTTTCATATTGCGTACACGTTACTGTGTTTGTGTTTGTGCTCATGTAAGTATAGATTCACGTTATGTCGTATATATGAGTTTTACATCACAATCGATACCATATGTATGTACGTACATATGAAAATTGTTCCTATAGATTAATTACATCACACACACACAAGCAGGCGCGCGCACATAGACAGAAAGAGAGAGAAAAAAGAGAGGGGGAGGGGGGGGAGAGCAAGCAAGCGAAGAAGCGAAAGAGAGAGAAATAGATCAAGCGAAAGACAGACAGACAGACAGACAGACAGAGAGAGAGAGAGAGAGAGAGAGAGAGAGAGAGAGAGAGAGAGAGAGAGAGAGAGAGAGAGAGAGAGAGAGAGAGAGAGAGAGAGAGAGAGAGAGAGAGAGAGAGAGAGAGAGAAAGAGAGAGAGAGAGAGAGAGAGAGAGAGAGAGAGAGAGAGAGAGAGAGAGAGAGAGAGAGAGAGAGAGAGAGAGAGAGAGAGAGAACGAGGAACGAACGAAAGACAGAGAAAACGAGAGAGATATGAAACAAGCGAACGTGCGAACGAGAGAAGGAGGCAGAAAAGAGTGAAAGGCATAAAGGCACAGATGAGGATAATTGAAAGAGCCAAACAGAAGGCGAGTTTCGACATAAAGAGGAGAACCAACAGAGGAAACAGACTCAAAGGAGGAGACGGTTCGGGAGAATGAAAAATCGAGTGGCGAAGGAGGGCCAGCAGAATCCGCAATAAAAATATAAATAGCTGAAACAGAGAGGGAAGGAGGAAGTGAATGAATGAATAAATTAATGCATTAATCAATAAATGAAGGAATGGATGGATGATGAATGGATGGATGAATTAATGAATGAACAAGTGAATGGGTAAGTGAACGAATGAGAGACTGAGTGAGTGAGTGAGTGACCGAATGAATGAGCAGTTGAGTGAATGACTGAGTGAGTGAGTAAGTGGCTGAGTAAGCGAGCTAGTCAGTCAAAAAGTCAGGAAGCCAACCAGTGACCCAGAAAATGGAAGAAGCACAAAGACAAAGAAGAGAGACACACTGTCGCAAACACTCAGACAATACAACAAAATATGCAGACAAAAACAGACAAAAAAAGGCACCAAGTCAGAATAAAGGATACAGAAGAGACAAAGATAAACAGACAAAAAAACGTAAATAAAACACGGCGAACAGGCAAATAAGCCAAAGGATCCCGCCACGCACACGGACATAGAATAAAATATCAAAAAGACCAGATTAATGATATAAAATATACTTTAAAATAATATAACAAAATACAATGAAAATGCATCATGCGAGAAAAAAAGTAGAATAAAATTATGAAAATGAACAACAATAAAAGAAAGAAATATAACAAAGGATGATAAGAACAAATATTGATAAAAACATAGTAATAACAAAAAATGATAATATAATAATAACAAATAAGGATAATAACAAATAAAAAATAATTACAAATGATGATATTAACAAAGAATAATAATATAATGGTAATGAAGATATATATATATATAAGTTGATTACAATTCAATGCTACTCGCAGGTTATATTTTAGAAAAGGCCAAATGAAGGCGATTCCGGAAGCCGAATTTTTCCGTTCCCGATTTTTTCCGTTCCCGATTTTTTTCCGTTCCCGATTTTTTCCGTTCCGATTTTTTTCCGTTCCCCGTTCCCGATTTTTTCCGTTCCCGATTTCGACGCTGAGCGATTCCCGATTTATCACTTAACGCTATCGACCGGGAGGGATTTCGCCCGAATGACGGAAGAGGGGGAGAGGCCGATAAAAGAGAGAAGAAATGGGGGAAAAGAGAGATGATACGCGGAGGTGAGGAGGTTTAAGATATTTTTATATTTTAGTTTTTCTAGTTAATTTAATCTGTCTTGTGTTTTATTTTTAAAGGGTTTTTATTTATTTTGTCTGTCAATATTCATTTAACGCGCTCCCATGTGCATAAACAGATACACACATACTTATACATGCCAACTTACAGACACACACGTACATATACTGTATACGTGCATACATACCCATATATATATATATATATATATATATATATATATATATATATATATATATATATATATATATATATATATATATATATATATATATATATATATATATATATATATATATATATATATATATATATATATATATATTATATATATAATATATATACATACACATACAGAGCCATACACATACATATACATACATACAAACCTACCCACACACATATATACACACACTCACACGCACAAACAACACACACACACACACACACACACACATACACACACACAACACACACACACACACACACACACACACACACAACACACACACGTAACACACACACACACACACACACAACACACACACACACACACACACACACATACACACACACACACACACACACACACACACACACACACACACACACACACACACACACACACACACACACACACACACACACACACACACACACACACACACACACACACACACACACACACACGCACGCACACACACACATACACACACACACACACACACACACACACACACACACACACAACACACACACCACACACACACACACATCATCGCCAATAACACCGATGAATTTTATAG